AATATTGGGGATTGCAGTGTCCAATTATAATATTTGAAATTTTGAACTAATTATCAATATTTATGCCATTCTTCGTTAACTATCTTGTAATTCTTTTCGTAAAGCGCAATATTCAATTTCGAAATAAGATTAGCGGACTAATCAAAGATAAGACTAATGCAAAATCGTTAGTATTTGACGTTTATTATATGCATTTAAAATATACGTACAGAAGTGGTTTACGCTTCTTAATATGTCATAGTTATTATGATTATTATTAATGATTATTATAAAATTAACTATGTACAACAATAATTTATAATAATATTAATAATATTTTTTAAAGTAATCTAGTCTAACATAAATGCAAGAAAGATGCGAATACCGATATGTATCTATTCTAACAACCAATCACAACTCACAAAATGATAAATCCTAAATTGTATTCCGATTTTCTCTAACAATATTGAAAATCTATAATATTTGACACGAATTACGGATACATTTTTAGTACTGGTAATAATATCAAGATGATTCATAAAGCAGAATAAATTTAATGCAACTTTCTCTTATATAATCCATTATATCTCTTATATAATCCATCCAAGCTAAAGTGGATGGATCATCATACATACTTCACCTATAGTACCAACATATCGTTTCCTGAGACGCTTATATATTTTGTATTCGAAATTGAACTGAAGTAACGAACTAGTAAGATTCTTATGAATCCATTCCCATATCTGCAACATTAGCATGGTCATGTTAAATATGCATATATTTTGCAAATTTAATAATTTTATTTAAAAAAAAAAAAAAATTAGTAATATGAAACATGATATTATATAATAATGTTATAACATTACTTGTGTATTATACGTGTATTCGTTTATGTATTTTTTTACAGACTATCTAATCATTATTGACAGAGAGCTTATGTGCAGATAAAAACGATTTTACTGATAATAAATAAAAGAATTCGTACCGCGTCGCGAGTTTTGCAATTAATAAAAAGTTATCGATTGATAAAAAGGTAGGAGCGAATTTGGAGAGGCAGTTCAATATTACGCGTATTTACAAATTGTTAAGTATGCAATGAGATGTTTTGGAGTTTGATCTACAAATAATGCACTATTCGCTTATTTGCACGTATTCAAACATCTCGCAGCGTTTCTAATAATAATGGAGGGCTTTCTCTCCTAAGCATATGTATATTCACGAATTTTTATTAATTAATGATTTACTAGCAATTGGGAAATACGAAAAATACAGGACTTTTTATCCTATTTTGACAATGCTACTTGCATACAGACTTGTGTCAGGAAGTATAAATGATCTTTTATATCACACGTGAGAGTATATCAAGTTTTAGAAAATACAGACGTTATTGTTTTCGTGTAAATAACATAATTTTTTAAATTTTTTTGTTGTTTGAAAGGAAATAAAAATATACATTAAAAATTATTCATTTTACCGATTTTTATGAAATAAATAGAAATAGAATATTATTTTTCTTATGTTACATTTATAAGTTATTCATCTGATTTCCTAAATAACAATTTTTCAACAACATTAAAGTAAAATTTTTTGTAACATTATGACATATAAAATATAATCAAAAAATAATAATTTAAAGAAAAGAACAAGAGTTATTATGCATAATAAAACTTACCTTACAGAGTGATTCATTAGAATAGGTATAATTTATAATACTAATTAATGCTGCGGTTGTACTCATCTCTCTAAAAAAAAAATTTTTGCATGTAATATAATACAAGAAAATAATGTAATAAAATTTTAATTGCATTAAAATGAAAAATTTGCATTAAAAATTTAGAATTTGTGAAAACATGTTATTACTTAGGTTTGATTTTTTCCAAATTGTTTAGTAAAATGTTATTCATTAAATCATTTGCATGTCTCTGCGTAACGTAATAAAACCAATAAATGTAGTTTTTAACACAGATTCTCTTTGCATTATCTTCTGTTCTATAAGAAAACAGGCAATTAATTCTTAACTTTTTAGCCTATCAGAGAGAGACAGGAGACTATACACATTATTGCAACAAGCCAGAGGTTTCAACATTTCTGGATTTTTAATTTTCAAAATTTCATCCAAATTTTTAAATAGTGTGTCAAGAGAAATAGATTTAGATACAGATAATCCATTACAGAACGTCCATTCCCTCCACCATGGTAATAGTTTATTTTCTCTGAAACATTTTATCATAAAATTAATATAATTTATAGTTTTACATTTTTATTTAAAGTAGGACGTGTATTGCAAATATTGTAAAAATATTATAATAGGAGAATTAATAATTACGTTGTATTTGACAAATGCCATTGCAATTTAAATTCAGCATGCTTTTTGCATTTGCTATCACCGAGAATACATGCCCATCTTAGAGCTTCTTGTCTTAAACATTTAATAAAGCTGTCGTCGTTAGGTTCTTCCTCGTACCCAATCTTTTCAAGAAGCGGAACCAGTTGCATTAGTAGTTTCGTCTAAGTATTGTGAAGTAACATAAAGATAACATTAATTATTCAAAAAATTTTAAGCTGAATCTTGTAGACATGTAACAAATTTTATTTTTCTCAATTAGCTACATTATATCTTTTAGAGAAAGATTTAGAAAATTATTAAAAGTAAAATATTAATATTTTGAACATAACAACATAAGTTGTTAAAATTTTCTTTACTAAAATCGCTTTTACCTTGAATATTGCACTATCGGTACTATGAAACGGTAAAATGTATAACATGTGTTCAGCAGCTTTGAACATAGAATACCATGGTATATAGTCCGTTTCCCACTTTAGATAGCTTGCGACTTCCCAAAATATAGAAGACTCTAATTCGCCTGATATTGTTAAATGGAACGTATCATCGATGATTTGAGCACGATTTAAGACATTAATATTTGTATAATTTTCGGAATTAAGACAATTTACGATTCTTAACCAACTTTCCAAATTATAAAATACACGATAATATCCTATAATAAATAATAAATAAATATTATTTATCATTAAATTGTATTAAATTATAATGTAATTGGTATTAAATAGAGATGGAATATCATTAAATGTTATTTTTACTTTTAAATGTGACTAAAAATACTTTCATTAAGTAATAATTAATCTTGTATTATAAATAATAAGAAATTGATATTTACGAACTGATATAATATTGAATTTTACATTGAATTCTGCAGACCATTTAGTTGACAATTTGTTTACAGAAATAGATTAAAGTTTTAGGAAAGTTAATCTTTATTCATAAATATTTCATGTCAGAAAGAATTAGTCCAAGAATTTCATCAAACATGTGAATACGGTTATTAAACAAAATATGTTAAATGTAATTCATTTAAAAAAATAATTGTAGCCAGATTAAAATTTCTAATAGGCAGTTCTAATTTACTTTAAATGTATAATTTTAAAATATGTTTTGTTTGAAGAACTCTGTTATAGAAATAAGTCAAAAATATTTTCTTTTTCCATAGTTAACAAGTGTACGTAATAATACAAAATAAATAAATTAATGATATTCCACATTAAAGTATTTGATCATTATTTACCTGTTTGTTGCTGATTAATTATTATAAATTGACTATCAGGACAATCAGGGTAATATTTTGCAAGAAAGTGCTTTTGTTCCCGGGTTAAACAAAAGTTGGGTAAAATTCGTTTTAAATTTATATACACTTGATTTGTTAATGGTACCGTCCAGTACCAGGGTTTGGAAGCGGTTTTTATAACAATTTGCGTCCATTCAAAGGTTTCCGTTACATTAAGAATAGGATATTGCTTTTTTTGTATCCAAGGATTCATCAAGCCTTTTACATTAATTTTTTCCAAATCCATAGTTTGTGAATCATAGACAGATTGCATTACAGTCCAAAAATCGTCCAAACTACCCGTCCTTACAAAATTAATGTATAAAAATTAGTTCTATTCACAATGTATATTGTGTAATCGAGACATTATCAGAGGAAAAACATAATTCTCTGTACATAATTCTCTGTATGTATAACATAAACACAAATTTATACAATTTTTATAATACTGTCAAAAGGCACGCATAGTTCGCATCATTCGCTCAGTTTAGTTCTTGTGGTACAGATGCCCGTGATTTTATTTGCGCAAATCTCCGGTGTAATTTATATCTCAAAGTCTGAATAGCGATTAGACTGATTGAATTTTAGTTCATCATCAGGGATCATCGAATAACAGATAGATAAATTTTATAATAAAAGTTTTATAATAAAAATTTATAATAAAAAAATTTTATAAAAATGTTTCTTATTTTTATCATTATAATCTACAATCAAAAATATATATGACAATATATTTGAAAAATAATTACATTATAAATTTTACTGCTGATTAGTCATTTATTCCGAATAGCAAATTTTGAAAAGAAAATTTTCTACTTATTTCAACACATTTAAATTTTTTCTTATTTCGAGAAGTAAGAAAGTATTTGAGAATATAATTTTATATGTAGTAATATAGTTGTTATACTTCGTAAAAATGATGAAGAATATAGGCAAAGAATATGGCAAATCATTATTTACATTATATAACCTTACATTATGTGAAAAATGAAGAAATGAAAAATTGTTTATTTGACAGAAAGGAAAAGAAAGGAAAGACATGAAAATACTTACTTTCTTTTCATATATGCTTTAATTCCTTTCTGAAAAATTTCATCACCCACTGTATGATGCAGCATACGCAATATAGAAGGTGCTACGACAAATAAGCATTATAAGATCAAACATGCAAGAAATTGTACCGACGCTAAATTTATGAAAGTTCTCAGAAATATTGATAAGCCTACAATTAATTAAAAACTTCTATGTTTTTGGAATATATTTGTCTTAGAATATGTCTTTATTTATTTTAGTGAATAAAAAAATACGTAAATTGAAGTAAAACTTATTTTTGGTATCTTAAATAATTTTACATGTTTTAATTGTTTTAATTTTATTTATCCAGTACTGTATACCTTTTATGTAATAGGTGAAAGAGAAAAGAGAATTAATTTCAGAGATACTGTTAACTTCTGAATCAAGAGGTTTCATAATTTGTGAATCATCTAGACGGAGAGACTCTTGTTGAGTTTGGACTACGAACAAATCCAACATCCGAATATCTGGCATAGTCTAGATATTACAAGTACAATCAACAAGTAAACAATAATTTAATTATCAGTTTATTTTTAATAGACTAATAATCATTAACAATAAAATTAAATTATTAAAAATTTTATAAACGATTTCACATGTATTCGACAAAATTTATTACGATTAACCTAAATATCATTAAAAATGATCGAAATATGCTTTCTTTTTTTCGTTATGATTTCAAATAGAACTTATATTTAGTTTTCTTAAAAAGTATTATCACAGACATGAGGAAATACCTGATTGATTATGTACACGCCGAACAACGTAGCAATACCCTCGTTTAGCCACATGTAAGACCACCATGATGGACTAACCGCAGTACCAAACACTTGACCCACAACTTTACGTCCTATTATACGTGATAACTCAATTTTGCGTGCGATAGGATCTATTTCTTCATTGTAAATAATATCTTCTTCTCTGTAAACAACGTAAAAACAATATTATTATATACATGTCACAAATATTCATCATGTAACATTTTTATTACTAATAACATTTTACTATATATAATATTTACAACGCTTTTCATTTCTGTAACTGTTTTACTACAGAAATATAGAAATTAATTTTTTTAATTATGCACATACTACCTGTAAAGTTCGAACTGCAATTTATCCACGCTATCACCTGTCAAACCTGCGATCGCATATTTATTTCTCATTAAATATTCTTTTGGTCGCCACATAAATTTAACTGCGACTGTGACATCTTTAATTAATTCTAAAATTTGATTCCATTGCTCTTCGACCGATTTCCTTCTCCATAATTCAAGATTTTGTACAGGGGAAATATAAGTATAATCATTTTTATCGAGTAGCAAAATTGCTATACGGTACGTAGGGATTTCAGGAGTTGTAACAAATTCTGTCACCGTTAACGATGAGCGAAGAGAAAGTATATTTGAAAAAACATTGTAATGTTCAGGATATTTTATAGCAATGGTAAATTTAGCTTTTATTCCCGGTTCGTCCCAACATGGAAATAGACGTCGCATTCCTGTCGCTGTGTTATTTGTCGCGAAAAGCCATCTAGCATATTTAATTAATTTTGTTAATGTATTATGTAACGAGATAATATTTTTTAATGGCATAAAAAATTAATATAGGAAACTGAGGAGAGAGCGAATGTATTTTAATAAAAACGTTTCTTTCAGCTTTTATATTTTATTAATACAAGATATGCCCTTTCTTTTTACTGCTTTTTTATAGTTTCATATACTTATTTTAATATGCAGTTATGTCTGTAGATCATGAATAAATGTTAAAAGATTTGAATTAAAAATTCTATTTTATATACGCGGGCAACACTTATAAAGAATTTATTTAATAAAACATTTTTAAAGAAGGAATAATATCATTTTATACATCGTTACGTTTATAACTTTTTGAAGAATGTTTACATTCATTAAGTACACATTTTGTAACAAAAACAAAGAGTCCCTTTCAGAACTTTGTAAATGTCATGACATTACTTTTATACATATTTAACGAACTTTCATTATCATGCAACGTAAGTCATTGTGTGTCAAATGATTAATTTCCAATAGTTAATAGACTTTTTTAATTTTTGTTATATAACAATTGTAACGTAATAAGGATGTTCGCATAAATTGTTTTAGCTATTACGCATGAGTATTAATTTTCAGTAATTAAGGGACATAAATAATGGAATTTTCTTTATTATTACTTTATTATAATATAATATGTATTTTCTTACTTACTTTTTATGTCCTATCGCATTTATATATGGTATCTTGATAAATCCTCCAACATCATTATCAATGACACCTTTATACCTCATGCTCAAATTATATTCATCTGGATATAGGGTATCAATAAAATCCAAGACGATAATTTGTAGTTCGTGTATATAGTTAAGATTACGTATCGCATACATCTTTATTTCTCCATCAATAATACCAGTTAACGTGCAATTAGTTATTTCTAAATTTGCTGAATGCAGGTTTATATTTTGTGTAGTTTTATTAATCAGAATGGTAATGTTACTCATTCCGGAGAAGATATCTTCTTCTGTATTTAATCTTAAATCAATTTTGTATTCTTTTGGTATTATAAAATCAGGCAAACGAAAATTGACAAGTACTGTTGTAACATGTTCGCTACACGTTGTAGACACTATGTATATGTGAGCGTGTGTATCGTTGGATATGATTTCTGTTTTTTCTGATCTCCTAGTTCTCGTTGTTTGTGATCTGTCTGTTTGCTTGTTACTTATTGTAGGTTTGTCGAATACATTTTCTTTATGTTGATAAAGAGCCGTAACGTAACTTAATATTAAACTTCCATATAGTAACAATTTTATTAATTCCATAATATTCATCTAAACAAATTTTTCATTTACAATAATGTATTTTTTACAAGAAACAAAAATATGAAGTAAAATTATATCTTATAAATTTGACTTCTGCAAAACTATAAAACCATAAGTATATGTTTTTATATTGATGGATTTTTTAGCACAATAAAGAATTAAACACAATTAAAAAGGTCACAGCCTCTCTTCAGAAGCAGTACCTTAAGTTCTAAATATCTATATATATAATAAATTAAATTACAATAGTAATATAATCCACTACGCGCCATTATTTTTAGCAGACTTGTAACGTATCGATTCTCAAATTCAGTATGCAAATTTTTGATATCGATTAAACGTTCCTTTCATTATGTACTACATCGAGAAAAAAATAGAAATAGAATCGTTTACTAATATTATAAGAACTAATATTATATTAATTATAGTTTACTAATATTATATATTTATTATATCGCCACATTTATAACGAAGTGAAATGATACTTCTTATCTTAAGAAAGACTTTTAACGTTAATAATAATTTTAAAAGAGGAATTTCATGTAAACTATACTTGTTTTGGAATACTTCTACATTTGTAAAA